CAAAGGTTATAGGTAAGCCATTATTTTTCTGTCTCTCTATCTATACCAAACAAAAGAGTGCCTGGTTTAATTGTATTTCCCTATTATGTCAGCTCTACGGGAATTAAAGCATCCAGAACTTCCAAAGGCAAGTCGCCTATGAAGAAGAGATGCGAAGCATGCAGCAATAAACCACTAGAAGGCAAACGTCTCTGCGCAGAATGCCTGTCTACAGCCGCTGGCGCTTCCACTACTGCCCCTACTCCAGATATGATGGAGTTTATCAAGCAGGCAGTCTCCCAGGGCATCAGAGAAGCTGGGAAGTCCCACAAGAGTTGGATATATTTATTACCTGTTATGTATTAAATGTATTTCCTGGCCATATCCATGGCAGCACAACAATGGGTTAGCTCCTCCCTATCCCTAATTAGACAGGAACAGAATTAAAATCAGGGGTATAAATACCCCCTCCCACCAATGGTCCCTCAGTCTTTTTTTTCCTGTCCTATCCCTATAGGACTCCAGTCATTATAGACTGTGAACATACTCTTCACAGTCTATAATGAACCCTTGGGGTTTTCTCAGGAAGAATCCTCAGATGAGTCCATGGACTCCTACAGGGACGGGCTGTCCTCTTCAGAAGAAGAATCTTATGCTCCGGAATTCATGGAGCCTGCTCAAGTTGATCATTTAATATCCAGAGTGCGCAAATCCTTGAGTCTCAAGGAAATATCCTTGGAGCAACCTTCTACTTCCAGTAGATATTTTGCTGATCTGAAGAAAAAGAGAGCCACATTTCCAGCTCATGAGACAATCAAGGAGCTGATTGAAGACGAGTGGTCTACTACTCGTAGAAAACTGACATCTCAAGGCAGAGTTGATCGTCTTTATCCATTTGAGAGAAAAGACTCCAGCTGTTGGGATTCGGCTCCTAAGGTAGATGCGGCCGTAGTAAGACTGGCCAAACACACTACTCTACCGGTTGACGACGCAGGTTCATTTAGAGATCCCATGGATAGAAAAATGGATCTGAACCTCGCCAAGGCTTACGTGGCTGCAGGCACAGGCCTCCATCCAGCAGTCGCTCTCACTTCAGTTTCCAGAGCTTTAAAGATCTGGATGGAAAATCTAGAGGCAGACATCCAAAGAGGCAGGAGCAGATCCAGTCTTCTGGAAAGTCTAAAAGATATAAAACTTGCAGTAGACTTTACGTCTGACGCTTCGGTGGATCTGGTTAAGGCCTTTGCTAGAAATATGGTCCTCAACGTTTCAGCCAGAAGGGCTTTATGGTGGAGATCCTGGATAGCAGATACCTCTTCTAAATCTAGTTTATGTGCCTTACCTTTCCACGGCGACATGTTGTTTGGAAAAAACTTGGATGAATGTATTAAAAGAGCAGCCGAAGGCAAAAGAGCCCAGAGGTTCCTTTCGATCCAAACGATATCCAGACTATTTTTCCTTTCGAGATGCCAGATCTTACAAGCCAGGAAGAGAGCATGGAAGATCCCAGCCTTGGAGAGGTGGACAGTCATCTACCAGAGGCGGTAAATCTAGAGGCGCCTCGTTCCACAAGAACCCCAGATCTTTATGACTGGTCTTCCCCCCAGTCAGTAGTTGTGGGGCCACGTCTGTTACTCTTCCAAGACGTATGGGAACTATCCACCACAGACAAATGGGTGTTGGATATCATAAGAAGAGGATATCGTTTAGAATTTTTCATACCCCCTCCAGCTTACTCCTTTCAAACGACCAAATAGCCAGGAGATGCAGAAAAAAGACAGGCCTTAAAAGATTTCATCTCGACACTCCAGGAAGGAAATGTCATCATTTCATTTCCTCAGCGACAGCAAGGTCAAGGGTTTTACTCTCACCTGTTTCTCACCAGAAAAGCTTCAGGTGGTTGGAGACCTATCTTAGACTTAAGCAGACTAAATCAGCATCTCCTCATCCGGAAGTTCAAGATGGAGTCTATTCAATCCATTATAAAGGTCGTTTTTCCACACCAATGGATGATTTCTATAGACTTGGCAGACGCTTATTTCCACATCCCCATCGCTCCAGAACATCAGAAATTCCTTCGGTTTGCGGTGGAACAAGGGCATTTTCAATTCCGAGCCCTGCCGTTTGGTCTCAGCACAGCTCCAAGAACATTCTCCAAGGTCTTGGTTGTTTTGATTGCGGAGCTCAGAAAAAAGGGCAAAACCATTTACCATTACTTAGACGACATCCTCATCTTGGCAGAAGACACAGATACCCTTCAGACCCATGGGCAGGTTTGTCTACGTTTTCTACGCCGTCATGGTTGGAAGATAAACGAGAACAAGAGCCAATTACAGCTGGTTCAGGAGATGAAATATTTGGGGGCCATATTCAACACTCTAGCAGGCACAGTGCAACTGTCTCCAGAAAGAGGTACGAAGTTGATGAACAAAGTCAAAGACATGTTGGCATCCAATGTGACCTCAGCAGAAAGATGCATGAGCCTGTTAGGATCAATGTCCTCCACCATCGGACTGACAAGATGGGCCCAATGGAGGATGAGGATTTTCCAGAAGAATTTCATCCTTCAATTCAGATCGAGATTCCCCCTCAGGTCCATCAATCTCTGATTTGGTGGTTACAGAAGAAATCCCTGTTCAGAGGGTTTCCATTGGGGAACATCACATGGACAGTTATTACCACGGACGCAAGCCAGTGGGGATGGGGTGCTCACCTACAAGATCTGTTTATCCAGGGGAAATGGTCCTTTCCAGTAACAGAGACTCCCTTCAACCAATTAGAGCTTTTGGCAGTTCTAAAAGCTCTAGAAATTCTCCTTCCCCTCATACGCTTCAAGGGGATCAAGATCAGATCAGACAATTCCACTGTAGTTGCCTACATAAACCATCAAGGGGGAACAAGGAGTTGGAAAATGATGTCCATTATGAAGCCCCTAATGTCCTTCTCCCAGAAGCATCTAGCGGGCCTATCGGCGATCCATCTTCCGGGAGTCCAGAATTCCATAGCAGATTACCTGAGCAGAGTGGAATTAGATCCAGGGGAATGGAGTCTGTCAAACAAGGTGTTCGAAGACATCTCTCAAGTATGGGGCGTGCCACAAGTCGACCTTATGGCAACACACAAGAACAGGAAGGTGCAGCACTTCTTTTCCAAAAACATCGATCCCCAAGCATCAGGAAGGGATGCTCTTTCAATCGATTGGGAATTTCACCTAGGTTACGCATTTCCTCCTACACCCCTCATCTTTCCTCTTCTGAGACGATTGAGGCAGGAGAAGGTATCCATCATCCTCATAGCCCCCTTTTGGCCTTGCAGGCCATGGTTTCCTCTGTTGTTGAGCCTCTGCATTGCAGACCCCTGGGAGCTTCCAAATATTACTTCCCTTCTACATCAGGGTCCTGTCCTCCACCCAGACCCTGCCTCCCTCAAGCTGATGGCATGGAAATTGAAAGGGAAAGGTTGAACTGCAAGGGATTTTCTCATTCTATCATTGAAACTCTACTGCAAGCAAGGAAACGCTCTACATCTTCCACTTACTACAGAATCTGGGACGTTTTTTCCTCCTGGGCTGCATCCAACCACAGGAATATTCAGTCTATCTCCACCAAGGAGATCCTTGAATTTCTACAATCCGGTCTTGATAAGGGTTTAAGCTACAATACCCTGAAGGTACATATTTCAGCTCTTTCGGCCCTTATGGATCAAAGATGGGCCTTGAACACAGACGTGATCAGATTTATGGCAGCAGTTTTGAAAATCAAGCCTCCTATCAAGCCCTTCGCTCCACCATGGGATCTTCCCTTGGTGTTAAAAGCTCTGAGCAATTCTCCTTTTGAACCTCTTGAATCCATCTCTCCTCAGTTACTCACCATTAAGACGGTTCTATTGGTGGCCTTAGCCTCAGGTAGACGAGTGTCTGAACTCCATGCCTTATCAACTAAAGAGCCCTTTACAGTTTTTCATAAGGACAGAGTTATTTTACGGACTGTTCCCGAATTTCGTCCTAAAGTGGTGTCAGCTTTTCACATCAACGAAGAAATAGTACTCCCGGCTCTTCATTCGGAGTCTTCTACTGAGGATGCTGAACCTCTGCCTTCTCCATTAGATCTTGTTCGATGTCTGTCTGTCTATCTACAAAGATCTTCAGCCTGGCGGATCTCTCAAAGGCTATTCGTCATCCCCAACGGCCCCAGAAGAGGGCTTCAGGCTTCTAAGATGGCCATCAGTAGATGGATTGTTGCCGCCATCATTCAGGCTTACCAAGCTTCAAAGATGAAAGTTCCTGATGGGCTCAAGGCTCACTCCACGAGGTCCCTTTCCTCATCTTGGGCAGCAGCTGCTAATTTGTCACCTGAGCTGATTTGCAAAGCAGCCACTTGGTCTTCTCCAAACACGTTTATAAAGCATTACCAGATTGACGTTAAACCAGCCAATCAGACTCTTTTGGCAAATCAGTCTTATCCGCAGTCAACTCTTCTTGATTGATTTCTATTGCACGTGTGATTTCTAATACACCAGCATTTTAAATATTCTTGAGTCTGTGTTTTTTTTTTCCCTCCCTTGGTTATTGCTTGGGTATTACCCATTGTTGTGCTGCCATGGACATGGCCAGGAAAGATGAAAATTTATCCATACTTACCGTAATTTTCCTTTCCTGGTCATAGGCCATGGCAGCACTTAGATCCCGCCCTGGGATATTGCTGTTAACAAGACTGAGGGACCCTGATTTTAATTCTGTTCCTGTCTAATTAAGGATAGGGAGGAGCTAACCCATTGTTGTGCTGCCATGGCCTATGACCAGGAAAGGAAAATTACGGTAAGTATGGATAAATTTTCATCTATATGTGTATATATATATATATATATATATACATATATATACACACACACACACATATATATATATATATAAATATATATATATATATATATATATATATATGTATATAGTGATCAGCACTCTCGGACTTTGAAGGTTAAAACTTACTGTTTATTAAATATCCATTAAAAGATCAACGTTTCAGTTCCATCTGGAACTTTCAGCAGGATCAGGCATACATTGTCAAGTAAAAAAGTGCATTTATATACTTGACAATGTATGCCTGATCCTGATGAAAGTTCCAGATGGAACTGGAATGTTGATCTTTTAATGGATATTTAATAAACAGTAAGTTTTAACCTTCAAAGTCCGAAAGTGCTGATCACTATCTACATATACATGTTTTTCCCTGGATTTCAAGCACCCGGCCAACACCAGCTAGAAGGCGTGAGTGCAAGGATACTCTGGATTTTTATATATATATATATATATATATATATATATTGCTTGTATTTTGAATTTTTGTAAGATTTTATCCTATTGTATCAATGCAATGTTTTGTGGACCCAGGACGTACTTGAAAACGAGAGAAATCTCAATGTATCCATCCTGGTAAAATATTTTATGAATAAATAAATATTCCATTGTTTTATTTTAATATAGAGGTAGCTCAAGTGCCTACCTTTCAATATTTCATATAAATTATTATTTTAAGTGTGTTGCAATAGGAGAAATCTTACGTGACTTGCTAATAATAATTTATGCAAATACAATGTAATTTAAAACAAGCACAATGTATCTTATGTACACAGAATGATGTCTAAACACATTTATTGTAGTTTAAAGACACATTACTCTAAGTATTATTGCTATGAAGCTCTGGAATAAATACAGACGTACCAAGAATAGTAAGCTCCTGCAAAAGACAGCCATTAAGATAGAAAAAAAGGAATTTGGCCCAAAATTGGAACTGTCCCTGCTAAATAAGGACAATTGGAGGGTATGGAAGTTACTATACTGATGGATCTGCAGAAATCCAAATAACAACTTGTAATGAAAGGATATTATTTAAAATAGCCAAGTCTGCCATTCCCCACTCCCCCACGTTTCCTTCTTCTGCTTTTTTCTTTAGCTTATTGTTATATTTATTTAATTTATTTGTTTCAACAAATTTCTAAAACTCAACATATACTGCTCACTCCTTACCTGACTCAAACCCAAAAGAAACATAACACCTACTTGTATGGCAAGTACATTCACATGTTACTATGACCATCCTCTTCCCACATGACATAAATTAAGATAATCCAGGTAACTGGCTTCTCCTTTTTGATAGATATGTCACTGAATATTGATGGTGATGAGGATAGATGGCAGGCATGATAGTCACTGTACTAGTGAATACATCTCATTTTAATCTTTCCCATTGAGTCACCCCCATTACAAATATTTCACCATCACCCACTCTATTCTGTCAGTGAACAATTCTGTTGTTTTTTGGGATGAATAATATTTTATACAATATTGACAGTCTTGTACATGAAAGGCTTGATTCAGTAATAATTTAAGATTATATTATGTATAGCTTGCTAGGGACATATTTTATGGGGTCTGAAATCATTAACCAATGTAATGCAAAATTGAAAGAACAGGAGAAGGCTGCAGTGAGTGTGGAAAAGAGGGAATAACAAATGCATGGACAAAATAAGATCAATAATTTATGTAATAGGAGAACGTAGGCGTATGCCAAGAAAGTGTTCATAGAACAAATGCTCTGATACAGCAATACTAGGTAACTTCAACCGATATTTGTTTATTGGATTGTGTTCACTTTATACAATTATCGATAGATAGAATGAAAGATGGATGGATGATGGATAGATAGACAGACAGACAGACAGATAGATAGATAGATAGATAGATAGATAGATAGATATGAAGAAAAAAAGGCAGTGAAGGTTTATTGAGATTTAGGTTTGCATGTAGAAGAAAGTTATAAAGAGGCATCAACAGACCAATTGATTAATAGATACAGATAGATAATTAGAGATGAATAGATACTAGAAATAGAAATGTTAAGCATCATTTTGTGTTAAAGGGACACCCCACTGCCCAAGTTGAAAAAAAAAGTCCACTACTTATTAGATATACACCCAATTCAAAAAAAGCATGCATTTAATTGTACATATTTCCACTGAGGTTATATGTAAAAACAGATTGAAAATGCTGGAGGTCTCTTGTCTGCAACCTTTGCAAACCTTTTCTTCCCCAGCCCAGACTTTCTATGGCTGTACAATCATAAGTTCACCAATGCAGCTCTATGAAACATCTTTGCAATACAGGTGCTCTGGTCAATTGCATACCTCCCAACATTTGAAATGGACAAGGAGGGATACTTTAATTTTAGAAGTGTAAGTAAAGTTGTGGCCAGAGACAGGGTTTGTCTGAGAAAGTGTAGGTGATTTACTAATAATTTATGCAACTAAAAGTTAGAACAAGAATGTATATTATTCAGACAGACTTGATATCTAAACAGTAATTGTAGTTTAAAGATACATAACTGTGAGTATTATTACTATGTTGCTCTGTTATGCGCTCAGGCACACAAACAATGTCTACCTCCTAGAAGTATAATTAAGATAGAAAAGAGAGACCGGGGGAATCGAGTTCTATTTTGGATTTATTTTTCCAAAATAGTGAATGTCCCTAGGCAAAGTTGGGAGGTATGCAATTGCCTGTCTGTTGAGTTGATAAGCTCCACCGAGCTAAAACAACCAGGAAGTAACAGGACTGGTTGTCTAATTGACAGCAAGGAGGTGTAACAAAGTTGATTTATAAATGTTCAATTTCTATTGAAATATGAACTTTTTCTACTAGGACTCTCTATCCTTAGCACTAATCCCCCTAACCGCCAATTATATAACTATATATCCACTAACTTTCACCCAAATTCCCTTTCCATAACCCTAATCCCCCAAAGCCTTGTCATCGACAAACTCTATCCTCCTAATCTTATGGCTAATCTCGCTAACCATGCACACCCAATAACTCTACTCTACTCTTAATTCTTACACCAATCCAACCTTTAAACCCCCCTTAACCTAATCAACCACAAACTATGTTCTCAAACCTCTAATCTTAAAAGGAGCACTATATGATCAGGAACACAAACATGTATTCCTGATCCTATAGGGTTAAAACCACCATCTAGCCCCCCTGGTCCCCTCATGCCTCGCTAAATATAGTAAATCTTACTTGTATTCAAGCCTGAAGCTGCTGGCTTTGTCACTGTTTCCTTTAGACCTGCCCACTGCCTGCTGACATCATCAGAAGTGGTAGCCTGATCCAATCACAATGCTTCCCAATAGGATTGGCTGAGACTGACAAAGAGTCAGATCAGGGGCAGAGCCAGCACAATTCAAACACAGTCCTGGCCACTCAGAATCTCCTCATTGAGATGAATTGAATCAATGAATCTCTATGAGGAATGTTCAGTGTCTGCATGCAGAGGGTGGAGATACTGAATGTTTGGATGCATTTTAGGTAGCCATGACCCAGGAAGGATATCTAACAGCCATCTGAGGAGTGGCCAGTGAAGTTATCACTAGGCTGTAATGTAAATACTGCATTTTCTATGAAAATACAGTGTTTACAGCAAAAAGCCTGAAGGTAATGATTCTACTCACCAGAACAATTTCAATACGCTGTAGTTGTTCTGGTGACTATAGTGTCCCTTTAATCCTAAATGCTCATAGCCTAAACAAAAACAACTCTAAAGTTAAACCCTAATGTGACGAAATGACTTTTGTCACTGGATTGTTAGGTGACAAGCTGCCCTTTCCCCCCGGCTGTTGGAGGAGCCTGATTGCCAGCCTCCTTCCTCATGACTATGGCCCTGGGGTGTATTGCCATTTAAAAAGACTATTTACGGCTTATTGGCTTCTAAAGACTATTTCTGCCCATTTGAATCCATGGGAAGGTGTGTTTCTTCCCCTCCCCTGTTTCCTGTATATTGTTCTCCAGCAGGGCGTTGTCCCAGGCACACTGCCAAACCAGTTGGAACTGACTGCTTTAATCCCTCCTTGGTTTCTCAACAGCCCTTGCTATCCTTTACCCCATGGCAAATTTACTCTGTTCATGGGATCTGAGCGCTGTTCACCTAGATAAATGTGGGGGTTCTGTGTAATATAATAAGAATTATGTATTTTTATGTACTTTTACGTATTTTGCTGTTAGTGTAAAATGTAGATATTTTCTGTACCTGGAGATAATTGAGTTTACTGCAGTGCCTTAAGCCAATTATCTCCAGGATGGAGAGGAGGGATTTCATTGTGTATGTGGGAGTGTTATTATGTTAATTAGTGTGTGTGTCCCTTTTGTCACAGTTTACCACCAGGTCCAGGGGGTGTGCCTCTGGCCTGAAAACGTGTATATAAGGAGTAATAAAGGCTCATTGGTGGCAGATCATATTATACCTTCATGAAGTTTCGGCTCATGTATGGGGGATTGGAGAACTACACTCTGGGGATTGCTATAATCACTATACTCCCCAGGGTATAATCACTAAGCTCTGCTAAGAGCTTGTTCCTGTTCCTGCTCTCTGGAATTCAGAGAGGTTGACCTACTGGAAGCTGGACCCTGGTCTTGGGTCCAGAGTGGGTGGAGACGATGAGACCCCAACCAAGCTGCGGCAGTTCGTGGGAGTCTACAGTGGTTATGGTGTCTGGCGGAGTGCTTGGAGTCCTCGGAAAGCACTAGGAGCATCCATCAATGGAAGGTAGGAGCATCCACCCAAATGGAATCCTAATTTTAAACCTAAGTTTTTATAACTCTCAACACCTACATCATAATAACACCACTAATTTTATTCAAAATGTATGCTTCCTCCTATTTCTTTACCCTGGGCCAGGATGGGGCCATGAGATCCCTGGTGATCCAGGTTAGGAAAAGCACTGTGTCTGTGCGTCTCTTAATCTGGCACAGTGACTCTAGCTACCCTTCCTTGATGTTCACTGATTCTGTGTACATGTGAAATATAGTGACATCATGACCCCACTGTGATTCAGATGATGCTGGGCAGATGATGCCCTGCAACCATAGTTGTTGGCCTGATGAGATCTTATGACCTCCCAGTCCACTACATATATTCCTCCATGGGTTGGTGCTTCGGGCAAATACCATGAACTCCTAAAGGTTGTGCTGTCCTTGCAGTTAACGCAAATGAGAAAGAACACCTGTTTGCTATCTTCAGTAAATGCACACGCATGTATCTGTAAAATGCGTTGAGGAAGGTACTGTACTATGCATTCCTCACCTTC